AAAAAAATCTGCAGCTCGTCAAAGACACTTTCTCCATGAAAGTGAATGATCAGTGCATGACGGGAAACCTAAAAAAAAGACGCATTCAAAGAGACAAATTCAAAATCACACAAGTTTGTTACACTTCAAACCCTTTTGTCTTTTAAATCACTGACAATATGAGCGTGCATATGTTCAAAAAGCTTTCATAATGAGCTGTAAGCCAGTCCTTTGGCCTGGTGTGTGTTTAATTAATTAGTTTTAGCTCTTTTTGGCTACATTAAACGCCATTCATTGTTTAAGTATTAACAGCTGCTGTGAATAAGGAGACTTAAGGAAAAACCTGGTCTATTTATTGAACAAAACAGTCCCGATCTTTCTTCTAGAGGGTATATAATCTGTGTTTTCACCGTGAGGTCAAGGCCCATCTGTCCTAGTACTCGTATTATTGAACTTTACTGTAAAAGCTTGTGGCTCAGTAATTAAAACTATAAACGTATACGGAGTTATTAATGCACCCCATGTGAGTCCAGCCATGGAGTGACTCAGCTTGTAGACACAGAAGAGAGGAGCAATCTGAAGAAAAACTGAGATTTGAGTTGTTTCTAACATTTCTCTTTGATTATCGTGCATGAAAGTTTTGCCAAGATAAGACAGCCGCTGTCCTAAAATGAAAGTACTTCAAATGATGCTGTTCTTAACGATTTCTTTAAATTAAAGCAGAGCATTAAGTTTGTGGCGCTTTGAAAGCGACGGCCCTAATGTGCCACGTTTCAACTTCAGATGCATTTTGTTTTTTTGTTCTGAGAACAAAAACAGGAAAAATATGTGAATTAAAGCTCTTTACTGAGAAGTCTGTCAAATTAAGAGATGGCGTACGCAAGCACAGAGAATGGACCTTGATCTAAAATTCAGACAGGGCGCAGGTTTAATCAAATGGAGCAAACGGATGTTCACGTGGTCCTAAATTGAGTGTGAAGTTGCACAACAATGATGAAAATCCAACATGGGTTCAAAAAACTCTCCATAGAAGGAAGTGTCATCATCCTGAAGATTTAGCTCATTTAGTTAAAGGCTAAATACAAATGTTCTAATTAGAACAACTGTTTTTCATTCAGTTCCATTACAATACACTGTGATTAAACAAAAACGACTAATTCTAACCACAACTCTACATTTGTTTTGTACAGAATAAACTATCGGCAACGGTTGGTAAACAAAAACCCTGTTCTTCTTGGACAATTAAACAGAAGTCATAGAGATGATCCTGGACCGTGTTCCACACATCAGTCAGGGGGACTAATGGGACACGTTCTCATAGCAGAGTGAATTTGGCTCAGGCATGCGTTGGCCTGACGGAGTGACGCTATGCTGCGCCTGGGAGAACAGAGCCGCCCTAGGGTGATAATTAGTCCAGTTTCTTGAAGTGCAGGCTGCAGATTTGAACAGCAAACTTTGTTTCTTCTCTGACTCCCTTCTCTATTCAGTCCCAAATTGGCTTCCTCCGGCTAATCCTCCCATGCCTATAACTGTATTAATTATCCACAATTCTGTTTAGCACACTTCGACTGAATTCAATTCAATCCCGTTCCTCTGATTCTAATTCAAGGTTTCGTTCAGACCACAAACTACCACCCAAAAAAAAGAAAAGGCAGCAGGAAAAAAGTTTCCGTCTTCCCTTCTTTTCCAATTCTCTTTTTTACCAGCTATGATGAGCTGCAGTGAGACTGAATTATTTAAAACTGCAGCAGCAGCACTTAGGAAGATCTCAGCAGTCAGTCAGAGACAGAAAACACTTAGTTTCAGAAAATGCACATCTCAAGTTCCTGTTTATCAGTTCACGGGGTTTGCAGAGACAACTGTGGATCTTCATCAGTTGTATTTCTCTCAGCATGCCATCAAGGTTTATACAACAACTTTATGTGCAAGCTGCTACTTCCGTTCTTTGAACGTTAGTGTTTTAATGTATTCCCAGTAATCTCACCAGTCTTTGGATGCTTTAGGCTGTTCTTTTATCAGAGATCATCCAGGTAATAAAGTTAAACATAACTTCTATCTTACAGTATTTATCTCCGTTTGATGGATTTTTGTGTCTCCTTTTAGCATGTGATAAACTGGAAATAAATACCAAGGAAAATAATGATCTTATTCAAGAAACTAGAAGCAAGAACTCCTAAATATGACACATATGCAAAGTTTTGTTTTCTTTTGAAAGCACAACCGGGAACATTTATCAGGACTGAATCTGAGAAACGGCACGAGAGATTCGGAGAACAAACTAAACTGTTCAGAGAATTGAGAGTGGGCCTCGTTTGTTTTTTTACTTTTACAAAATGTGACATCGACTCTGACTAATGAATCAAAAGAAACAGAGTGGTTTAAAAGCATTTGTTAGAAAGAGACTTAAATGTGGAAATGTACATCTGTGGACTTGTTTCTTTCTTTTTATAACTTGCTTGGTTCACAATTTAAACTAATTTGTGACTGTTGTGCTAACCAAATAAGGCAAAACTCATTTTTAATTACTGGTTTAAATGCAACAAAAAGGTAAAAATGACTTAGAGGATGGATACTGTTTTCGGAGATGATGATGAAGTAGAAATTTAAACACTTGATGACAATATTGTAGTCCAACAAAATCATAAACTGTTGTATTTAGAAGAAAAGTAAGTAAAAGAAAAATAAAATCTTGCTGAAATGATATCATTAATTTCTATATAAAGTTCTGCTGCATTTATCCCTCGATGCTCCCTCATTACTAAAACCAGATGAGAGGACCTCTCTTCCTGAGCCCAGTTCAGTTGGAGGTTTCTTTTCATTAAAATGTTTTTCAGTATAACTTTGAAACAAGTACAGCATTTCTTTTGTGATGCAACTTTTCATTTTATTGCTCTGGTCTTTTTTCAAAGTTTATATCAATAAAATAGAACAAGAGGAGACTTCTAGATATTACTAATACTCTGGTCACAGCTAAAGTGAAAAAAAAAAGGCAAAGTGTCTTTTGAGATCTATTTCAGGAGACTTTACATCTTCTGCTAGGCCTGTCGCAATAAACAAAAAAAAAAAAAATCAATTAATCTCATGAAAAATGAAAATTATCAACCTCATTTTCATTTATCGGCTTTTCCTGTCTCTCTCTTTCCACTGAAGACACTGGATGACAAAACACTCAACTACGGTGCTCTTCAATGACCCCTCCCCTTTTCTTTAAAATCCGTTTTAACCATCCAAAATTTTGGATGGTTAAAAGCAGAGAAGTTGAAAAGCTAAGCTATGAGCTAAGCTAACAGGTCAACCTCGGGAAAAAACCCATCTTGTCGAAGCTCCAAAATTCACGGTTGAAACCTGTGCCTTTGTGTAAAAAGTTGGTTTTCTTTGCAAAAAGAAACTGAGAACTTGTTTACAGATATTTTTTATTAAAAAGCTTTGTGTAAAAAATTCTACGCTAAAAAGCTCAAACCACACCGAGTGTCTGCCATTTTGAGAACGGGGGAAAAAAAAAAGAGACAGCCCATGTCACATCAAGGGGCCTCCCTCTCATTTTTCTTAAAGAGACACGCTGCTCGTTCCCTCACTATCCATCCTTCGGTTCAAACAGTCTTATACTGCCATTTGGTGGTCAAAGAAGGTACTACACTCAAAACAAATTAACCAACATTTCTTCTTAAATTTGACAATAACGACTAATAACAACATTATCGTTTATCGCAATAATTTCTGAGACAATCGCCCAGCAAAATTTGTTATCATGACAGGCCTATCTTCTGGCAAAATTGGACAACAATTTGAGAATGAATCACGAACAACAACAAAAAAACTTTGTTTGGGGGAGGGGCTAATCAGACCAGATTCATCTCAGACCGTTTGGTCTCCTGACCCAAATGAAATGTTGAGTCACGTGATGCTTTCAGGTTACGATGATCTCAAGTGTACCAGCAACAATTCAGTCTTCAGCCCAGTCCAGAATAAACCTGACTCAAGTAATAAACGTCAGAGGAAGAGATTAGTCAGTTGATCAGCATTTGTTTGGCTAAAACTGCAAAGGAGCAAAGCATGCATAAATCAGTCTGTCCTCTGATGACTTAATGTGTTAGATGCAATTCAAATGAGTCTGATGGGTTCACTTTTTGCTGCTCCATCCTCATACACATCATGCATTATAGATTATCATCATGATCGCAGAATGGCTGCAGAAACCACAGAGAACTCTTGATTTTCATCCATGTATTGATGGACAAGCCTCATTATACAGCAGCACAAAATAAACCTGGGCTTAATTAAACACTGAAGCTGCAGTTCTTGGTAGTAATACCGGTACATAATACAGCTCTATACTATCTGGATACTTACCTGGTACTAAATGTTACATACCTTGTACCTATAGGTAGGTACTCTATCCACTGAGTTTGTATCTCCTACATACTGGGTATGTTTATGCTACTTAGGAAGACTAGGCTAGGCTATTATGATAGGGCTTCTTACCCTGGATCTAAAGAATATATACTTGTTGGGTTCATACATGGTACCGATTAACTATATACCTGGTACTTACAGGCTCAGTATTTCGTACTTACAAAGTATGAACCTGCTACCCTGTATGTACCTGCCACATACATGGTGTGTACCTGATACCTACAGGACATGTAGCTAGTACTTACTGGGTAGGTGATGTCTAGTACATATGGGAACTGGACTGGATTAGGAATTGACTTGTTACTATGTACCCTGTAAATACAGGGTAAGTAAGAACAATATAAGTACCTGGTAAATACCCGGTAAATATCCAGTAAGTACAGAGACAAGTCACACCATATTACAGCCCAGTACCCATATTTACCAGTTCATATGGGTTACATACACCTAAATACATATATACATACAAGTACATACATGGGTATGTACCAGGTACATACCCAGTACATACAGTGCTGTATCATGTATTGATTTTCAGAACATTGAACTGAAGAGAAAACACAGAATTTAAATATTTAAGCCTGCATTAACAAGTTTTGAGCACTTACCACTGTAGGTGACGATGCGGACGGTGGAGTCACCCTCTCCGAAACGTGTGATGGGGGTGAGGCGCACCTCGTAGGATTCAGGCTTGATCAGCTCTGTCAGGTTGTGCGTCATGAGCTCTCCTTTGCCAATGTTTCCCTCCACAGTGATCTCCTGCTCCCACCAGCGCTGCAGCCCCATCTAAAAGGGAAGAGGAACAATCAGCTTAATAGAAATCAATAAATAGTCAATCCAGTTCAACAAAAAAGCATCTGAGGCTGTCGCAGACTTGTAAATGAGAAGCTGCTGAGTTGAATGAGGACATATTGAAAAAGTTAGGAAGATATTTAATTTCCATTTTTATACGAAAGGTCAAAAGGAAGGTTAATTTAAATATTTAGTTTGCTGCTATCTTTAAAACACTAGGTAATCAACCACATCTAAATGACTTATTAGCTTCTCGTAAAAATAAAACTGACCTAAAGAGTATTACTGCTTGCTGTCAGAAAAGGTGAAATCAGTTTAAATCAAGTTAGCCCCCACAGCTAATCAACATTAGGAAACAAACAAAGAAAGGGGTACAACTCAGTCATTTTCACAGATAATAAGCTTATAAGATCAGAGTCAGAGTTTCTTTATTTGTCATTCACATCACATATAGTACATGAGGTGGAGCAAAATTGTGTACACAGGGTCCCAGTTACATCAAACAAAAGCAAAAATATAAAGTGTAAAAAGAAACAGTAACTAAGAATGTAAGATATAAACTAAGATATATGCTAAATGAATGCCCAATTACTAAAAGATCTAATATATATACCAATCACTAATGGTGCAAAACAATACACTGAACAGCAGCAGCACGATTCTCATAGGTTCTGTTCAGCTATAATTTACACACTTAATGTGAGCACTAACATAAACTAAACTAACATAAACTAAACTAACATAAACTAGGATTTATTCAAAGCATGCAATAAGAATACAGAAACAAGGCGCCAGAAGTGAAAAAGAAATAAATCAACAGCAGCATGGTCCTGTTGGCAGAGTGGTTCTGATGACAGTGAGGTTACCGTAGCAACATGGTCCAGTTAGCAGCATGATACTGTTAGCAATGAGGTTTATCTTAGCAACATAGTCCTGTTGGTCCCATAGTACTGTTAGCAGTGTGGTAAGATGTGGTAGTAGCTGAGAGATATCCCTCAATACACATACTGAGAGCTAAAGAATTACAAGAGATCTTGCGGTATTGCATGCTATAGCTAATATATTGGTATTTTCAAGATTTGACCAAAATGATTGTAACTCAATCACAACACAACAAAGCATCTGGTTTGAAAGAATAACTTTTAGAGGTTTCTTACCGAGCGTATGTCAGAGGAGGACTTATGGCAGAATTCAGCAACAACGTGATAATAGTATGTCTTCAGAAAGACAAAGAAAACAGGAATTCTGAGTGACCGGAAAAGTCAACATTGCATTTCCCTTATGACTAAAAATGCCAGCAGGAGCCAAAAGCCATAGTTCCAACATTTAAAGTGGGGTTCTGTAAGAAAAGTATGAACAATGAATATCTTACCTGTTGTAGATACTTTTATAAACAACCAAAGTTGGGAGAAACGTTTAATCTTGGCCAAACTGGTGATCTAGGCCGGTCAGAGTAGGACCAAGATCAAAGTGGACTATTGCCACCTTAAAACAATTCTGATATCAAAATTTAAACGTGTTCAAACAAACCGTGTTTCATCAGCTTTTACAACACTGCCAATACATTACTTGAGTATGCTTTGAAAGAAATATCAGGACATTCCTGTCAAAAGTGCCTTCGGAGGCATCAGAAGTGTTACAGCTAGCTGCTGTTCACACGTGAAAAACAAAACAAAAGTGTAATGCAAAACTGATGGTGATGTAAAAGTTAATTATTAGTGTTCACAAGAAACTGTTCCTTTATGATTTCTCACTTTCTGCTAGCACAACCTGTATATTTCACAAACACTCCGACAAGTTCAATAAAAACAGTTCAACCATGCGAAACGTTGATTGCAGTACAGTAGTCCCTTGCTACTTCCCGTTTCATTTATCACTCTATCTCAGTTCTTCAAAATAAAATTGGACCTGACACACAAGTGGCTGTCTGATGGATGAGCCACACGATCTGCATGGAATTTTTAGTTAAAATAAATTGTTTGAAAATATTTAGCTGCTGCTGCACCTTTGTGCAGCCAAGAGCAGCAGAAAAAAGCTTCCTCCTGCAGCTTTGTGGAGCCCATACTGCAGGACAAACTTCCTGCTGCAGCTGATCAGCTATTCGTGCAGAGCGGAGAAGTGGGCGTGGCCAAGAGGCAAAGAGCAGAGGAGGCAGGAAGCTGAAATCATGACATTCTGTGTTCTTTTACAGAGTTTAGAGCTTAGAAACATTGATTAGAATATTGCAAGAGCATGGGA